TCAGGGTCTTTGTAACGGCAGATGATTCCATTGCCCTGTGCTTTCTCTCTTCAACAGCCAAAGTGTCTGCCTTTAATTTGGGTTTCTGGTGATTTGACTTGACATACACACTAATTTCTCATTTTGTGAAACATATACCGGGGGGCCAGCAGGTGGTGTAATGTTACATAGCTGAACTCCCACATGGTCTACTGCAGTTCAAGTCCCAGGCCCAAGGGCTTTAAAAACTCATGCGGGGCGTGTGTGTATGCATGCCCAGAAATCCCACAGGAGAATGGAGGAGAAAGGATTGCAGTGTGACCATCCTCCCTGGGGGGTGATTTCTCACTTTCTGTCTCTCTGGCGAGTGCACCCATCCTATAACAAACATCTGTCTTAAAAAAAAAAAAAAAAAAAAAGCCATATACCAGAACAGATATGTTCTAGAAGTATTGTGAATAAATCTTTTTTTCTTTACTTGAATCCCATTTTAAACGCACTAGGGATATTAATGAGGTACACTTTGGTAAAGAATCACTCTTTTTTTTTTTTTTAAATACAAAATGTCACATATTAAATTTGGTTGCTAAGGTACATATATATTCTCACTTTCTATTATCTTTACTAATGGATGACTAATGTAAAATACTGAGTAATTTTTTGAAATCGATACTTAACTTTTTGGAAATAATTAGAGAGATAGTCAACCCTGACAGAAATACCCCACTCGGTTCCTGGGCCTGACTTTTGTTAAAGGATAGTCTATAAATAATTCACGAAGCTGACATTACTCACTGTATTTTGATCATCTTTTTCCTGGGAAAATTTTAGCAACTGTTCTAATATAGATTGCCAGTTATCAGTAGTTGGGAATGCAAGTCAACTTTTAATTATGCAGCAGCTGATTATTCAGACTACAAATCGTTCGTGCCCTGTACTGCTCCTTAAAGCTGCCTACCTCTTAGCATTTTCACTGCTCATTAGCACATGTTCCAGAAGGTTGGCATTGGACAAGGGGGAAAGGAGAGGAAACTCACATCGGTTAAGCACTTAGGAGAAGCTCTGATGAAAGGGTTTAATACACTTTATAGAATTATTAGCTAAAATCGAGTCATTTGGATTCCCTGCACATTGTATTTACTCATTCTATTCTTGACCTCCTTAGCAACAGATAATAGAACTGTTTGCAGAGAGACATTATTCCTATTCTTAACTGTTTCCTATTTCATAGAACATTTTCACATGATGCTTCGTGATAGTTACTCATTGCATTCGTACTTTCTACTCATGTCTCTGGGGGATGGCGTATTGAGATTCCTGACATACACGCAGTGAGACCACATCACTGCATGATTTTCCGTAGCTTTCAAAGTTCAGGCAGTTTGTGGGAAACATGATTTTCCTCATAATTAAATGGAGCCAGCTGAACATGGTTTAAGCTTTCCTGGATGGCCAAGGTTATCTGCACAGTACACCCTCCTGGGCTGCACGTGGCTATTCCGAAGGCCCGCGCAGGTGTGCTGTCTGTCCAGGATCCTCTGCTTAAGTAAAACGTTACAAGTGTAGTAAAACTTGAGTGGGAATAGCGTTGTTGGTCCTACGGCTGTTATTTTTATGTGTTTTCTTCCTCTTCTTCCACTCTGCCACCTGTCTGTTTTGTCATTGTCGGGAAAACCTGCCTCATATAGCCTTGCCTTGTTAGTTCTCTGCTTCTAGATCGCTGAGGCGTGAGGAACTGAATAACCAGCCCAGTGAGAACTGTGTCTAAGTTCTTCTCCAAGAAAACACCAAATGACAGGTGACGCTGGTACAGTGTCAGACACCGGAGGCCCCAGGTGCCCTGAGATAGGCCACAGAGTCTTCATGGACCGTTCGGCCGTGGCCCCTATGGTCAGGGCCGGGACTGGGGCCAGGGCCAGGGCCAGAGCTGGGGCCGGAACCAAGGCCGTGGAGCTGGTGGAAGCAAGGCCGAGGACAAGGAGTGGATCCTGGTCACTAAACTGGGCTGTCTGGTCAAAGACATGAAGATCAAGTCCCTGGAGGAGATCTCTCTCTTCTCCATGTCCATCAAAGAGTCTGAGAAAAAAGTCTTATCAACTTTTTCCTGGGGGCCTCTCTCAAGGATGAGATGTTTTTGTTTGTTTGTTTGTTCTTTAAGAGAGGATTTTGCTATAGGGCATATTTGCTCACTAGTGAGACAGAGAGCGAGAAATCACCCCCAGGGGGATGGCCACATTGCAATCCCTTCTCTTTCAGTCTCCTCTCCAGATCTTGGGCACACATGCACATGTGCCTGACCTGAGTTTTAAGCCACTGGGTCCAGGACTCGAACCGCGGTCAACTACATGGGAGTCCAGCAACGTAACCATGACGCCGTCTGTTGGTCCCAAGGATGAAGTTTTGAAGATCATGCCTGTACAGAAGCAGACTCACACTGGCCAGTGGACCAGATTCAAGGCGTTTGTAGCCACTGTGGACTACAATGGCCACACTGGTTTGGCTGTGAAGTGCTCCCAGGGGGTGGCCACTGCTATAAGAGGGGCCATCATCCTGGCCAACCTTTCCGTCACCCCCCTGCAGAGAGGCTACAGGTATAACAAGACTGGCAAGCCCCACACTGTCCCTCACTAGGTGGCCAGCCGCTGTGGCTCTGCTGGTGTACCTCATTCCTACCCTCAGAGGCACTGGCATCATCTTGGCCCCTGTATCCAAGAAGCTGCTGCTGATGGCTGGCATTGACGACTGCTACACCTCAGCTCAGGCTGCACTGCCACCTGGGTAACTTCACCAAGGCCACCTTTGATGCCATCTCCAAGACTTAGAGATATCTGACCCCCAACCTCTGGAAAGAGACTATGTTCACCAAGTCTTCTTATCTGGAATTCGCCGACCATCTCATCAAGACCCACACCAGAGTCTCCGTGCAGAGGACCCAGGCTCCAGCTGTGGCCACAACATAGGGTTTTGATACAAGAAAAATAAAGTGAATTAAACCTGAAAGAAGAAACAAACAAACAAAAAAAACCTGTGTCACAGCCGGCAGGTGGCGTGGTGGATAAAGGCGCTGAATTCCCACATAGCAGACCGTGGTTCAAGTCTCAGACCTGGTGGCTTGCTTTCTCACTTTTCCTTTCTCTCCCTCGCTTTATCTTTCTCTCTCTGTCTGGTCAAATTTTAAAAAATAATAATGGGGCTGGCAAGTGGTGTAGTGGCTAATGATGCTGGACTCACACATGGCCAACCACAGTTCAAGTCCCATACTTCGTGTCTTGCTTTCTCACTTTCTCTCTCTCACTTTCACTCTGTCTGGACAAATTGAAAAACAATGATAATAAAAAATAAATAATTATTACAATAACAAATGGAATTAAATAAATATTTTTTTAAAAAAGAACTGTGTCTAAAATAAGAGCAGATAGGCCTACATGGGAGTGCGAGGAACTCACATCTGAACTTTGGTATAGAAACAGCTTCACTGGGACCAGCAGTTAGCATAATGGCTATGTCACTGGACTCCCACGTAGTCGACCACGGTTTGAGTCCTGGACCCAGTGGCTTAAACTCACGCCGGGCGTGTGTGCATGTGTGCCCAAGATCCCGAGAGGAGAACAGAGGAGAAGGGATTGCAGCGTGGCCATCCCACCTGGCGGGTGATTTCTCGCTTTCCGTCTCTCTCTGTCTCTGTCTTCCTGGTGAGTGCATGCACCCTATAGAAAAAAACCTCCCCCCCAAAAAAAAAAAAAAAGCCTCCCTGTTAATAGGCCTTTTTCCTTCCCCTTTTCTCATTTTCAACCATGTAGTTCAGCTACTGGTTAATTGTGTTTTAAAGAAATTGCTAGGCCTAGTTCCATAGTACAGTGGTTAAGCACTGCACAGAGGAGGCTGGATCCCACATGGCTGACCAGGATTTCAGTCCCAGTGGCTTGAAGAACGGATAGAGAACGCACATGCATGTGTGCCTAAGGTCCGGCCAGGGTGGAGAACTGGAAGAATAAGAACTGCAGCATGTCCAGGCCCCATTAGGAGTGCTTTCTCTGTCTCTCTGTCTTTCCCTCTTGCATGCACAAGTATGCACACACACTCTCTGGCATTAGAAGAGAGAGAGATTGTTTGGGACATAAAACTGTCTTGAATAAAAATCATTTGTGGGGGACCAGCAGGTGGCGTGATGGTTAAGGTGCTAGACACTCCCACATGGCCAACCATGGTTCTAGTCCCAGACCTGGTGACTTGCTTTCTCACCTTCCCTCTCTCTCTCTCTCTCTCTCTCTCTCTCTGTGTGTGTGTGTTTCACTCCAGTCAATTTGTTCTATAAGCCAACCAAAAGCCAGTTGAACAGAAGCACATTGACTACAAAGTCTTTGGGGAAGTAACCTCAGCAGTTACTCTGGTTCTGTGTGTTCATGAACATTGTGAGACTGTCTGTCTAGAAAGCTCCCTACCTACCAATAATTGGGTTTTCAAATTCTCTTTTTTTCCCCTAAATTCTAATTTTTAGATTTTCTGTGGTAGAGAGACACGATGATTAGGTTCCAGGATTCCAGTGGATTTTGGATTTTTCTCTTTTTTTTGAGAGGTTTTCGCTATAGGGTGCGTGCACTCACCAGACAGACAGAGACAGAGAGACAGAAAGCAAGAAATCACTCCCCAGGGGGGATGGCCACGCTGCAATCCCTTCTCCTCCGTTCTCCTCTCGGGATCTTGAGCATGCATGCATATGCACCTGGTGTGAGTTTTAAGCCATCAGGTTCAGGACGCGAACTGCAGTCGACTACATGGGAGTCCAGCGACATAGCCATTACACTAACTGCTGGTCCTCCAGTGGATTTTTCATGTGTTGGTTCGCTTGGCCTCGTGGAGACCAGGGTTTGCTGAGTCATGCTGCATCTAACTGATGCTGGACCTGGCTGTGGAGCTGAGACTCAGACGGGCTCCAGGCCCAGCCTCCCAGCTCAGCCTCTGAGGAGTGGACGGTGAGGCCAGGACTAATGTCCTGACACATTTTTCCCTCATGCTTTCAGGGTCTAAAGGAAACATTGTCACTGACAGCAGGCAGGTACGCCTTGCCACAGGCATCTTCCCTGTCGTCAGCCTCCTGAATCACTCCTGCAGCCCCAACACCAGTGTGTCCTTCAGGAGCACCGTGGCCACCGTTCGCGCATCCCAGCGGATTGGAAAAGGGGCAGAGATCCTCCACTGCTATGGTGAGTCATCCCTCCTCACCACTGTCCTGCCTTCTCAGCAGCAAAGGACAGGGTGGTAAGGAGTGAGCCACTGGGCAGGTGCCTTTACCTGTCCAGTGTTTGTTTCCTGGAAGAGGCCATGCATCCCTAGGCCAAATGAAAAGACCTTCCTAGGGCCCTATTGTAACTCGGCCATCATGCCTCTTGGTGTTTAATTCCTATAAACTTCCCATTCTGAAAATGGACTAGGAACAACTGCTCGGCCTCTTTTCCTTCCTGTCCCAGCAACTCAGCTGCTTCAGTATCTAGGGCCACAAATGTTTGCGTAGAGGTTACCCGTCCCAGGGCGAATAATCATCCAGACTCTGCTACGCTGATGGTGTTTAATAGTGTTTGCTTCTCTCTTGCTTCAAACATTGGGTGAGGGTGCTCTGTCTCCAGGGCCTCACGAGAGCCGCATGGGTGTTGCTGAAAGACGACGGAAGCTGAGGTCTCAGTATTTCTTTGACTGCCACTGTCCAGCTTGCGAAGCAGAGCAGCACGGGACGGCTGCAAGGCCCAGGTGGGAAGCGTTCCGTTGTCACAGCTGCAGAGCGCTCATGCAGGTAAACCTCTCTTCTCTCTTCTCTTCCCTACTTTTCCCAGTGGTCAGTTAGTGAGCCCAGAGGCCGTAAATCACTAGGAGGAAGCCATCGGGGCTTATAGGATCCGAGAGCAATAAGAAACATCACTGCCGTCTTAGCCAGCCATCCACGCACATTGATTTCTGCTCCACGGGGACCAGGGAAAGGGTGGGTTTAGTAATGCTTCTCTTATAAGTGACAGAAAATCCCATCTCTACCAGCTTAAGGGAGAAAAAAGAAAGACTGGAAATTTATTTGCTCAAGTAAGTCATTGAAAAGTCCCTTGGGACCAGCAATTGGCCTAATGGCTATGTTGCTGGACTCCCATGTAATTGACCACAGTTTGAGTCCAGACCCAGTGGCTTAAACTCACTCCAGGCGCATGTGCGTGCGTCACCAAGGTCCCAAGAGGAGAATGGAGGAATTGGCCTAATGGCTATGTTGCTGGACTCCCATGTAATTGACCACTGTTTGAGTCCAGACCCAGTGGCTTAAACTCACTCCAGGCGCGTGTGCGTGCGTCACCAAGGTCCCAAGAGGACCTGTCTCTCTGTCTCTCTGGCGAGTGCACGTGCCCTATAGCAAAAACCTCTCCAAAAAAAAGAAGAAGAAGAAGAAGAAGAAAAGTCCCAGAGTAAGGACTAACTCAGATACAACTGGATCCAGGTGCTTGAATAATGTTGCCAGGACCCAGTTTTCCATCTCCGTCTCTACTGCATTTCGTCTGTTAGCCCCATCCCATCCTCACAGACTTCCTTCTGGTGGTGTCAAGATGGCTGCCAGCAGCTCCAGCCTCCTGCCCTCCCTGCCCAGGAGGATAAAAGCATGTACCACTCCAGCAACACCAAAAGCTTCGCTGTGCTTCATTGGTCTGATGCTATAGCTGAGGGAGATCAGAGCCACATGGTTTTCCTCCAGCCCTTCAGGCCAGAGGATTGTGGTACATCTGAGCCAACAATCGCCCGCAATCAGCTACAGGGCACTGACCGAGGGCGGTTGAGAGAGGAGCCTCAGGACCCTCTGGTTGCTGTTGCCAAGTGAGGGCACAGATAGTGGCATCCAAAACACAGCACCCAAGAGGTTTTCTGTCTTTTTTTTTTTTTTGGAGAGGTTTTTACTATAGGGTGCGTGCGCTCGCCAGACAGACATAGAGACAGAATGCGAGAAATCACCCCCCAGGGAGGATAGTCACGCCACAATCCCTTCTCCTCCATTCTCCTCTCGGGATCTTGGGCACGCACGCACACGCGCCCGGCGTGAGATTTAAGCCACCGGGTCTGGGACACGAACCGCGGTCTACTACGTGGGAGTCTAGCGACATAGCCATTACGCTAACTGCTGGTTCCCCCGGCATGAGTTTTAAGCCACCGGGTCCGGGACGCAAACCGCAGTCGACTATGTGGGAGTTCAGCGACATAGCCATTACACTAACTGCTGGTTCCCGAGGTTTTCTGTCTTTTGAAGGCCACAGGGTGTGCGTGCACACTTGCACATGTGAGAGAAGAAGACAGAGGATACGGTGTACTTACTAAGGGAACCATGAGTAAAATGCAGACCAGGTTGTAGTGGAAAACCGAAGCTGAAAGCCCAAGGTCAAATGTGGGGAGGCCTCACCTAGCACTTTTGATTGCTGTCCCTCTTTCCCTCACTCTGTCTCTCTTACTTATAGAAGAAATAAATACACTTTCTTTAAAAATGAGGGGGCTATTAAGGTGGAAAGAAATTGCAGAACCATGTCAGTTCTATTCCAAAAATTAAATCTCTAGGTGTGATCAGCTACTGCTTTCATTAGAATTACTTCTGTCACATCAAATTCAGTCAGACTTCGGTCAGGACCTAATATTGCAAGAGCTTCTTTTCCCCATAGGGTCAGGAAGTATGGCATGATCCTATAATGAAAGCACATACAGTGTTGCTCACCAACTCCGGGATGGGAATAAAGACAAAGCTGACTTCCACAGGGAGACGACATGCTGAGCTGTGGCAGCAGGTCCTGTACAGAACGTACCAGCAGGGATCACCTCGTCTCTCGCCTGCAAGGCCTTCAGCGGCAGGTTGGGGTGGCCCGGAAACTTCTCAGAAATGGTAAACTAGGTGAGACTCGCTCCCTCCTTTGATCCTCCTGCCCCTTCCTTTTTATTCATTCTGTCACCTTGGATGTCAGGACACTCAGTAATGATTGAAGAACTGCATTTAATTATCCCCAAGCCAGCCACAAGATGGCTACATAGCCCAGTGAGACCAAAGCCTCAGCAGCTCAGTTCCTGAGGTGTCCTTGAAATGATTTAGGCTCTTGTTTCCTTATGCGTCAGATGTCTAAGTTAAAGTACCCCTGACGACTGAAGGGCTATCTCTGGCATCCAGGAGTTTTGTGCAATTCCAGAAGTTCATTGTCATTTATTTTAATTCCAAGGCCTAGTGACCTAACTTCCTAGAATGGTTGTTCTACTTCATCAGAGCCATTCTCTTCTTTTTTTTTAAAGAGAAATTTTTGCTGTAGGGCTTGTGCGCTTGCCAGAAGACAGAGAGACAGAAAGCGAGAAACCCCCCCCAGCGGGGATGGCCACACCACAATCCCTTCTCCTCCATTCTCCTCTTGGGATCTTGGGCACCCACACACAGGTGCCTGGAGTGAGTTTTAAGTCGCTAGGTCCGGGACTCAAACCGCGGTGGACTACATGGGAGTCCAGTGTTGTAACCATTATGCTAACTGCTGGTCCCCAGAGCCATTCTTGTCTAGAAAGCAGTAGGGTGTATACCCAAGAGATCGAAGTTCCCCTCCTCTTTCAGCAGAGGAGCTGCGTAACTCCCTTACTCTTGAAAACTTTGTCTTAGAGCTTGGCATCCTGGGTATTTACTTACCCTAATTTATGAAAATTGTCCCCTGGGGCAGGCAGGTTAAGAGTGGTTAAGGGTGCTGGACTCCCACATGGCCGGCTGTAGTTTGCGTCCTGGACCTGGTGGCTTGCTTTCTCGCTCTCTCGCTCTCTCGCTCTCTCACTCTCTCTTGATCTCTTCCTCATTGGTCAGATTAAAATAAGTAAATAAATAAATAAAGTTAAATAAAATAATTCTTTTTTTTTAAAAAAAAAGGGAAAACTGCAGCGGGGATGGCCACACCACAATCCCTTCTCCTCCATTCTCCTCTTGGGATCTTGGGCACCCACACACAGGTGCCTGGAGTGAGTTTTAAGTCGCTAGGTCCGGGACTCAAACCGCGGTGGACTACATGGGAGTCCAGTGTTGTAACCATTATGCTAACTGCTGGTCCCCAGAGCCATTCTTGTCTAGAAAGCAGTAGGGTGTATACCCAAGAGATCGAAGTTCCCCTCCTCTTTCAGCAGAGGAGCTGCGTAACTCCCTTACTCTTGAAAACTTTGTCTTAGAGCTTGGCATCCTGGGTATTTACTTACCCTAATTTATGAAAATTGTCCCCTGGGGCAGGCAGGTTAAGAGTGGTTAAGGGTGCTGGACTCCCACATGGCCGGCTGTAGTTTGCGTCCTGGACCTGGTGGCTTGCTTTCTCGCTCTCTCGCTCTCTCGCTCTCTCACTCTCTCTTGATCTCTTCCTCATTGGTCAGATTAAAATAAGTAAATAAATAAATAAAGTTAAATAAAATAATTCTTTTTTTAAAAAAAAAAAAAGGGAAAACTGTCCCCTTAACTTGTATTTTAGAGTTAGGAGACGTAATGGCCATCAGTGGAGTACAGAGTTAGTTGTGTTGGAAAGCTGACGTTGGAAACCCAGGGCGAACGTGGGGAGGCCTCACAAGAGAACAGCCACCGGCATTTTGGTTGGTGTTAACCATGGAGACCAAGGTTCAGCCTGTATTCAGCCCGGCTGATACGTGATTTGAGGCCTGGGTTCTCATTTCGAGAACTGGGTTTTCCTCAACAACATAGTGAGGCATTTTTCCTTTGGATCAATAGAGCAAGCTATTCAACAGTTATTGGGGTGCCAGCAGGATGCCGAGGACTTCCTGTCACCAGAACACACCGTGGTAGGAGAAATCGAGGACGACCTGGCCCAGGCCTACGCTGCCCTAGGTATGGCCTGTGTGTTCGTTTTCTGTGTGAGGAGGTCTGCCTTGTGTGTCTGTTTGGTCATGGCCCAGCCTTATTTGGTTGGCCGAGGCTGCTCTCCCTTCCATTCAGCTTTCCTGCCTCTCAAAGTGCTCATCCACAGTTGACTATGGTTCTTTTTTGGAATGTAACTCTTTTTTCACCAGAGGATGTGTTCAGTCACTAGAGAGAGACAGAGAGGGAGAAGGAAAAAGCACCCCCCCCCCAGTGGGGTATGGTCTCACCATGACCCCTTCTCCCTTTGTCCATCCTGTTGGGATTTGGGGCACCCATGCTCACATACTTGGTGCGTTTTTGAAGCCACCGGGGCCAGGATTAAAACAGGAGGTGGCTATGTGGGATCTGGATCCATCAGATCCACCTGGTCCCTGGAACATGGTTTTTCTTTCCTCACAGGGGAGTGGCAAAAGTCAGCTACCCACCTCCAGAAAAGTCTCCGAGTGGTCGAGGTTCGCCATGGGCCGTCCAGTGTTGAGATAGGCCACGAGCTCTTCAAACTGGCTCAGATCTTTTTCAATGGGTACGTCAGTCTTTCCTCTTCCTAGTACTTTGCCAGGGCACATTCTGTTCTGTTACGAGGTCTATGTACTTTTTTCTGTGGTGCTTTTAAGCATGTTGAAACGTCTTCATTTCCTCTTTAGGAGAGATCCTTGCCTTCTGTTTTGCTGACAAATTTGAAGCTTTAGAATTTCCTCCTGAGATACGGGGGAAGCTCTTAGATCTGAAGAGAATTTCCCCGAGCACACTTGCCAGGCAGTGCCCCCCCTCCCCAGCATGGCACTCCTCATTCCTCTCGGGTTAATCACACCCCCTAGGCTCTCCTATTCCTGGCATCCTCAACTTCAGGGTCTATGCCCTCTCACTGGCTTGCATAATCCTTTTAAAGCAGTTGTTTTCAACCAGGAATGGTTTTGCCCCCAGATGATATTGGGCACTGTCTGGGGACATTTTTGGTGATTGCGACTTGTCTGCAAGGGGAGGAGGGCAGGTGCCATTGGCATTCAGTGGGTGGAGTCCAGAGGTGCTGCCAAACCCCCTGCAGTGCACAGGATGCCCTCCCACCCCCACAGCAGAGTTCTCCAGTCCAAGAAGTCGGTAGTGCCAAGGTCGAGCAACCCTACTTTAAATATTAAAAGGAAAATCCTTTGCAGAATTTTCAAGGAAAATTTGAAAGAATTTCAAAGAAAATCCTTCAAAGTGGATGCCTCATCCACTTTTGCTACTGAGATGATTTGGAAGGCCTAGACTGCAGCATTCCTGGATGGAATATCTCCAGCCTTGATAAAACTGCTGCTGGGGTACATTGGTTTGAGAAAATAAAACTTGACCCTAAGATTATAAATGGTAGATGGGGGACTAACAGGTGGCGTGGTCGTTAAGGCACTGGATACTCCCACATGGCCAACCACGGTTCTAGTCCCCAACCTGATGGCTTGCTTTCTCACTTTCCCTCTCTCTCTCTTTTTTTGCGTTTCTCTCTGGTCAAATTAAAATAAGTGAATTAATAAATAAAATTCAAAAGAAATATATACAAATAAATAAATGGTAGATGGACCTGATAGGCCAGACAGAGGCCATTGAGTCAGAGAAAGAAAATAACTGCAGAATTAAGTCACAGGTAGGTTTGCTTACCCAAAAATAAAATCCCCTGAACAAATCTTGGGGTAGATACCAGACTCAAATGTCTCCTATTTTTCTCAGGATTCTGGAGTCTTTATAAAATTTTTCATACCTTTATTTTCAAACTGTCTTGCAGTATGTTTGTGAAAGTGTATTTTCAACCCTTCTGGACTGTAAGATCTTTAAGGACAGATCTTATACAACTTATCTTATACAACTTTGTATTCTTCATAGTGCGTGAGTAGGCGCTCTGTTGATGTCTGCTTGATCGGACGAGTAAGCTAACCCCTCTTACGTCCCCTGGCCCAGGTGTGCAGTACCCGAAGCTCTGAACACAATACAAAGGGCAGAAGAGGTCCTGCTGGTGCACTGCGGCCCTTGGAATGATGAGATCCAGGAGCTCCGAAAAATGAAATCCTGTTTATTGGACTTGTTGCCCAGCCCTGGGGGGCCTTCAGCATAGGGTTCTGAGGGGACATTGACTTCTGGGAAAAGAACCCATGGAAGATGAGTTAAAGAGGTTCTTTTGCGGACCAGCAGACAGCACAAAGGTAAAGACATTGGTTCCGACGTGACTGACAGCACAGATCAAGTCCTAGATCTGGAAGCTTAAAAATCATACTGGGCACGTTTTTGTGCTTGCCTGAGGAGACTGGAAAAAAAGGAATTGTGGAGGAACCAGCAGGTGATGTGCTGGTTAGGGTGCTAGACACTCCCACATGGCCAACCATGGTTTGAGTCCTGGACCTGGTGGCTTCTTTCTCTCTCTCTCTCTCTCTCTCTCTCTCTCTCTCTCTCTCTCCGTGCGTGTGTGTGTGTGTGTCTCTCTCTCTGGTCAAATTTAAATAAATAAATGAATAAATAAAAGTAAAAATAAATAATTCTTAAAAGAAAAAAGGGATTGTGTCACCCTCCCAGGGGGAGGGTGATTTCTAAAGAGAGAGAGAGAAAAAATGAGAGCACACGCACACATGTACCCTATAGCAAAAACTTAAATTTAAAAGGTTATTTTGCTGCTGAGCTGTCCTCAGGAAAGACAAGACATCCAACAGTTCCAAGCCTCTAGCATGTGACTGCAGGGAAGACTCGGAAGGCAGCACTCAGAGACACTCACCTATTTTGGTGAATGCTTCTTGAAATAGTTAACTTCCCTCCAATGAAAACTCCCAGTTCCCAGAAAAGACTTTAAGCTGGTATCTAGAGAGTACAAGTCCTTTAAAAGGATCTTAGCTGATCTTCAGGCATCTGGATGTCAGCCTGGGCTTCTGGCTAGATTCCAGCTCGCTAAATGATGGCAGTCTGTTTCCCTGGAACATTCCTATGGCTTCTAGGGGTAATGAAATGTTGTGTACCTCTCCAGTAGGAACCTAAACTCTTAGTTGTATTGTAATTGAAAGACAATTATAGGGACCAGCAGTTAGCATAATGGCTATGTCGCTGGACTCCCACGTAGTCAACCACGGTTTGTGTCCCGGACCCGGCGGCTTAAACTCACACCGGGCACATGTGCGTGCGTGCCCAAGATCCTGAGAGGAGAATGGAGAAGAGATTGCGGCATGGCCATCCCCCCTGGGGGGTGATTTCTCGCTTTCTGTCTCTCTGTCTCTCTGTCTGGTGAGCGCACGCACCCTATAGCAAAAACCTCTCCAAAAAAAGAAAAAAAAAAAAAAAAAAAGATGATAAAATAAGACAAAATTAGTGAGGCCCCCTCACCTCTAGAGAAACACAATTCTACTTATGGTCTCTGGCTTCCTCAAATCCTTTGCTAAAACTGATAGAGTATATCGTGGCCAGTAGTTGGTATGGTGATTGAGGTGCTGGACTTCCCCATGGCTGACCACAGTTTGAATCCCAGACCTGATGGCTTGCTTTCTTTTCTTCTTCCTCTCTGTCTGTCTCTCTCTGGTGAATGTACAAGTCCTATAGTAAATTTAATAATAATAATAATAAAATTAAATAAGTAGTTCTTTAAAAAAAAATACTGGTATAGTGTAAATTGTGGGTGGAGAAGGGGTCAGATAATGACGCGGTGGTCAGAAACAATGTTCTGCAAAGCAGTCCTATGGGGGAGGTTTCCTGGTTCAACTCCTGAGGCCTCCCTGAGGATACTGGGCACGTACTTGTCCAGGAGCTGGGGCTGCTGCAGGCTGGGAGGTGGATCGCAGCCTCAAGGCCTTGTTGAAGCTGCTGTATCTCTGTCTCTCTCACTCATGGGATATATAAATAAATTATCCTTTCATAAAAGTGTGAATAAATACAAGGGTACTTGAAAAGTTCGTGAAAAAAAGAAATTAGAGTATAGGATCATTTTGGTGCAAAAATAATTTTAAGGGGGCCAGTAGCTGGCATGGTGGTTAAGGCTCTGGACACCCACATGGCCAATGGTGATCTGAGCCCTGAACCTGGCCACTTGCTTTATAGTTTCTCCCTCGCGACCTCTCTGTCTCTGCCTCTCTCTGGAGAGCACATGCCCTATAGCAAATTTTAAAATAATAATTAATAAAATTACAGAATAATAATTTTTCTTTTTCTAATAATTATTTTTAATTAATTAATTAATTTCTAATTTTCTATAGGACACATGTGCTCACCAGAGGGAGAGAAAGTGAGAAAGCAAGCCACTAGGTCCAGGACTCAAACTGTGGTCACCCATGTGGGAGTCCTGCGCCCCAGCCACCATGCTACCTGCTGCCCCCCCCATGCATTACCTTTTCACAATATGTGTTTTCCATAAACATGTTGAGCCCCTTGTAAATACAGGGCTGTTTTATTGTTGAACAGTTTCTTCCTGGGATGATAACACTAAATTTATTTTCTAAATTCATTTTATTCTCTAGCTTTCCTTGTATATTCTCCACAGTCTCAGTGACCAAATACTAATAAAATCAAACTTGTAACGATGACTTTCTAAGACACATGCCTGCTTTTTGAGTTCTTCTGTTAGCAAGCCTGAAAAGAGACTGCTTGCTTCTGTTAGATCTCCTCAAGTTGGCAAGGAAATACAGATTACATGAGCACTGGGAAAGCAGAAAATACCAAGGGTGTGGACATTGCTGCTTGTGGTTTTGAACTCAAGAGACAGAGGCAGGGATGACTGTGCCCTCGCACCAGGACGTATAGCAGTAGTCCGGACCCTGTCCTGACCAGGAGCTACAAGATTCTCTGAGTCTGAACCATGGTTGCTCAATCAGTACTCGCGCCCAGAGGAGCTGGTGGGAAAAGAGGTCAGGTCCACAGGTCCATACTGCCTTTGAAAGCTTGCCCACTCTGCCCATGCCCAAGAAGTGCCCATTGGTTGCCGGGGCATTACAGTCGGGAGATGAATAGCCTGGAAGCTGCCTGGCAGTAGCTCTTCAGGAAGCTGAGTGTTTGGAATATAGTTAGCATTCAAATATTTGTTGAATGAAGGGCTGGCAGAATTTCATTTCACCTCCTTTCTAATAACCCATTGTGGCACAGCAGTGGCCAGTAAGATTTTTTGGTAGTTTTTTCTTTCTTTCTTTCTTTTTTTTCTTTCAGGTTTTTACTGTAGGATGCATGTGCTTGCTAGAGAGACAGAGGGAGACAGCGAGAAGGAAAGTGAGAAGTCACCCCCTAGGGGAGATAGCCTTGCCACGATCCCTTCTCCATTCTCCTCCTGGGATTTTGGGCACACACGCACACGCACCCAGTGTGATTTTCAAGCCACCAGGTCCACCAGGTCTGAGACTCGAACCACGGTTGGCCATGTAGGAGTCTAGCACATTAACCACCACCCCACCTGCTGACCCCTTCTTTTTTCTTTTTAACTGGCAGAGGATGTGTGCACTTACCAGAGACAAACAGAGCACCCCCCCAGGGGTATGGTCACACCACAGTCCCTTCTGCTCATTTCTCCATCCTGTCGAGATTTGGGACATACACATGGACCCCAGCATGTTTTCCTCAAGGTGCCAGGGCCAGGATTTGGTTATATTGTGTTTGGTTATATGGGCTCTCTTAACCATAAGGCTATGGGACCAACTCAGGAAAGCCTTTTCAAGGAGAAAAACTTTAAGAATTTCTTTTTAGGACAATTCTATAGTTAGTCTATTCCAAACACTTGGCATGTTTCATATTCCTAAAAAAGGCTCTGTTATACTTCGTAAAATAGGCATACTTCCTTAGAAAGAATATTTTACAGTTTCTACATATCAGATCCTATTTTATGTGTACTGAAGAACTTTCTTTAAACACTTTAGAAGATAATGATTCTCCAAAGTTATAAATGACCTCTTTATCTGTCCATGTAACATATCTTCATTGTCACATGTAACATGAACTCAGCTGGGGAATACCTGAGATTTCATAAAACCTACAGTCTGGTTTATTTTAGAGCATGCTTCCCTGATTGTGGGGGCAGGAAATACCCTGGGGGGTTACAATGAATGGTTCTGGTATGTAGCACTGCAGAGCAGAAAAGCAGTCCCCGTATTATACAGCACAGGTAAGTACAAGTTCTTACGAATGGTAACCCTCTGCCGAGTTTAGAGAGAACCAAACTTCAAGAACAGGACCTGCAAATTCCTAAAGGGAACAGCTCAAAATAGAAGGAGGAACAAAGTAACAAAAGCTAAGGATAAAGCTCTTTTATTGTAAAGTACACACTGAAGTTACAGGGGGAGCCTTCATGTAAGATAACCTGCCATCCCTCTGGGATTTTTCTTCTTGGAACACTGAACTGGAACATTAAGTGCCCCTGGGGTCTAGGATTTTGCCGATGAAGAGAAGCGCCCCTGTGTCTGTGTCCCTCAACACAAAGATGAAAGGTTGGTTAAGGTGATAATCTAGGGGGAAGGTGAGGTGGGCAGGCTGGAGCCCTGGGCTGGGGGTCGTTGCTGCCCCATCCTCATTCCACTCGAAGCCAGCCCGGTGTTCCACATGAGTAAGCTTTATGCTTTTCCCAGTGATCTTGCTGAAGTCTGGTGAATCAAACAAGGATTGCAGCTCTGCAGAGATTGAGAAAGATTGCCATTAAAACCCTGCCTTACAGGACCAGCAGTTGGCATAATAGCTATGTCACTGGACTCCCATGTAGTCGACTGCGGTTCGTGTCCCAGAACCGGTGGATTAAAACTCGCTGGGCGCATGTGCGTGCGTGCCCAAGATCCCGAGAGGAGAATAGAGGAGAAGTGATCGTGGCGTGGCCATCCCCCCTGGGGGGTGATTTCTCGCTTTCTGTCTCTCTGTCTCTCTCTGTCTGGCGAGCACATGCGCCCTATAGCAAAAACCTCTGAAAAAAAAAAAAAAAAACCTGCCTTACCCAGCACCCCAAGGGAAGTTATAGTCGCAAGCAAGCAGAGAGTGAACCACTACTTTTGGCCTTCTGTGAGGTATGTAGAGCTCTGAGACTATAGAGAATGAAGTGACTTGCCCAACAGCACACAGCGAGTGAGGTTAAGGTTAGAAACCAGGTCAAAACCTGCTTTGAGAACCATTGTTCTGAGCTCCTGTTGCAGGAGGTATGCTCGTGTGGCTAAGGAAGAGGTCTGATGAGGAAGGCAGGTCAGTTATCCCCTCTGGCAACTGTTAGAGTTGAGGGACCATCCAGGGCCTATGTGCAAAGCCATGGAGCCTTTGAGTTCTGTGTAGCAAGGTGGAAGTCTCAAGGTGGAAGTCAGCCACCCCCACCCCCAAGAGCAAAGGGGTCTCACACACATACTTAGCTCCTGCAGAGACTTGGTAACTTCGCCTTCGTAACTCAGCTTCAGTTTGGGGATGGTCAGGACTGCCTGGACAGTCTTCAGTTCTCGGTCTATGTCATGAATGAACTCAGACGTGAGGCTCTCTTCTATCATGGTCAAGTTCTGGGTTGCTTTCAGGGGCAGGAAGAAGATGATACTCATGCTCCCAGTCAAGGGCAGCTGGGCAATCTGAAATGGCAGAGAGGAAGCACGTGGGTTAGTCCTTTGGGGCCTGGGAGCCTAGAGGTAGCTGTCTTCTTTTTTTTTTTTTTTGGAGAGGTTTTTTCGCTATAGGGCACGTGCGCTCGCCAGACAGACATAGAGACATAGAGACAGAAAGCAAGAAATCACCCCCCAGGGGGGATGGTCACTCTGCAATCCGTTCTCCTCTCGGGATCTTGGGCATGCACGCACACGCGCCTGGTGTGAGTTCTAAGCCACTGGGTCCAGGACGTGCACCGCGGTCGACTACATGGGAGTCCAGCAACATAGCCATTACGCTAACTGCTGGTTCCCGTGCTTTGCTGTCTTCTGTGGTGGGGCCCTGGCCCTATGTTTCCCCAACCCTGAATCTATTTAGCAATTGTCCCTGTGGGTTACTGCTTTCTGGGAGCCCATCTTCTTCTCATGTTCTTTCAGAAAGTAGGCTCTTGGTGCCAGCAGGTGGCATTGTGGTTAAGGCTCTGGATTCCCACATGGACGACCACTGTTCAAGTCCTGAACCCAGCGACTTGAAAATCATGCTGGGCACGTGTGCGTGCATGACCAAAATCCTAAGAGAAGGGAGGAGAAAGGGTTGTGGTGTGGCCATCCCTCTTGGGGAGTACCTTACAGTACCTTAATCTTCACAGCAAGCCCTGAGAGAAAACGTTTTCATAACACCCCCCAACCCGGTTTTAAGAAGGAAGTCTCAGAGAAGTTGTTGACTTGCTTAAAGTCTCACAGCAGGCAACATTTAGACAGCTGTCGGATCCCAAAGGTCATTCTACGCCCACTACACTGGCTCTCCATCCTCCCCCACCCACCCTACCCCTACAGACCTTGCAGCTGAGGTCGGAATCCAAGCCATAACGTAGCATAGCTTTAGGGTCTGACATCATGGGGACCTGCACGGTCCTTTCCTCATCCAGGTGAAAGTCCTGCAGGGAAGTCTTTCTGGAGTCAAACTTGGTTACCCACTGCCCTGGAATAAAATGAACAGAGTGTCCTGAGCCCCAGGAGACCAGAAAGGGGGACCAGGCTATGACTCCAGTGTATGTTGTTGAAAATGATCAGCCGAAGGACTCTTAGTTGCCAGAGGCTCTGACACATCAGGGAACAGCTCTGCCTCAACCTACGCGCTTTGGGCCCCAGTATTTCCAGGATCCTGAATACCTTCCGCAAGCAAACTCAGAAAGAAATTGCTATTGATGATCTTCCTCTCTAGATCCTGCAAGTTCCACGATAGCCTGGGAGAAAAGTCAACTACATACACTTCTGCAGTGGGGTCTCGGGGACAGAATCAAAGCGGGTCAGTGCTGGAAGGCACTTCCGAGAGCATCTATCTGCTCACCCCTCATAGCTGCAAAAGCCCAGAACCCCCACCGTGTCATGTGACTCGCCAAGGCTCCCAAAGTAAGCGGGTGACCAGGCTCCTTTGTTTAATGAGGACTTTGATGTACTGGGGCTATAATAACTGCTCTTTCACTCCCTGGAGAGCCAGGCTTGAAGTAGGAAGCCCCTGAGCTTTTCTCTAAGAGCCAAGGGGGGTCTCTTCTTGCCGCTACCTCAGAGATGATTTTAAGGGGAAGGAGGCCTTCCGTCCTCACCCAAGGCCTTATGAATGGGGCTGGTCTCACATGAGGCCTGTGGCATGATCTCTGAGCACACACCTCAGCCTAGGAAAAGAATGGCACTGGCTAACTACCGACAGTTTACCGGGCACCCGCTGTACCCCAGGGCCAGCACGAGGCCTGTGAGAATGAGACACCGCGCACGCCAGGTGTGTGTGAAGGAGCTGTGTGATCCTCACAGTGAAGGTGAGAAGGTAGGCCCACGAGGGTTATGGAACTAGCAAAGGCAGAGTTGGGATTTAAACCTTGTCTAGCTCAAAAGCTAGAAACCAAACGTGACGAGCCCGCCAATGTCTATTCCTTTTTCCTCTCTGTCCTCCTTTCTCCACAAGCGTGTTGGCTGTGTGCATGTTTTGTAGACACTCGCACTTTGCCTTAGATCATATGACAAGCAGATACGCTTCAGGCACATGAGTTGTCAGATCCACCACGGGCTTTGCCACTGGGTTCATGTGGGATGAGGTCTCTGATTTCTCTCCTTTCCCAGCCCCCTCTGACACCTGCTACCCACCCTTGGCCAAGAGAGAAATGGAGAAGCCCTCACCCTTGAAGTAAGCCACACCGAGAAGGAGAATGCTGACGTCACTGGGCACCTCCCTCGTGGACCTGGCAATTTTCCCTTTCATCTGGGCCTGTACCCAGTTGTTCATCTCCTGAAGATCTATGCGAGCGTTGCCAGTCAGGATTCTGGGCCTGGTCCCATAAGACTTTTCCAGTGGAGCAACAAAGCTGGATTTTATCCGCAACTCTGGGAGGAAATGGAGCAGAGGTTAGTGTGTGAGAGCTAAACCAGCACTGTGTCTTTGAGAGTGCGCGCGCTAGGCTTAGGTCCTGCTCTAGCACGCAGCGGGCCCCGACCTCCTGCCCAGGGTCTGCCTGGGACTTGCCAGGACTCCTGCTCGCTTCCCCAGAAACTATTCAGGGAACAACAGATTTCACTCATGGCTGTTTCTCTTAGTTACCATCCTCCCTGCACCCTCCTGCTGCCTTCTGCAGCCTACTTCCTCTTTCTGATCCTCCTAGGGCTCACAGGGCCGTTTCTTGCCCACCAGTGCCAGGCCTGGCCTGAGCGTACATGATCTGCGATTTCCGAAGAAACCCCCAGCCTGGAGCATAGAGGAACCCTGAGCTCCTCAGGCAGCCCAGGCTAGAAAAATGACTCACTCCTCTCAAAGGTGATCCGGGAAGCGCTCTTGAGGTTCTTCTGGGGGGCCGTGACAGCAGCAAGGAGTTCCTTGTAGGTGCTGTGGATGTCTGGGTTGCTGATCAAGTCGTAGTAGAGAGCCCGGTGAATGACGGATTCTGTTCTCTGCTCCGCTCCTGCCAGAGATGAGGATTTGCACCTTGATAGCTGTCCACTGGGGCCCAAACCAGGTCCTCTCCCAGGACAGGGAATCTTTACGCTTATACTGTGTCCACGGAGAGCCTGAGTAAGCTAACACCGGAGACGTTTTAGGTGGGTAAGGAATCTGAAGATGGTGGAAGAAATAGTGACTCTATTCTTGAGAGATTTTCCTGAACCGGGCTAGACATTAGGCCTGGGGAGAAAAAGCAGGGGGCTGAGGGAGATCTTCTAAAAGTTCATGCAAAATGTATATTATGAAAAACTATGCATGGATTTCAAAAAGTGTTGCACCAAAATGGATGTGTACTTTAATTCCTTTTTTCCATGAACTTTTTGAAATCTCCTAAGAGTGGGAATGAGGCGTACTTTCCCCATCAGAGCACATAAGACTATTCTGTAGTTACCTGTTATGGTTTGGATAATGGTTTGTCCCCCAGAGTTTTATGTTTTAGAATTTGGTGTTGGGGGAAGATGAGGCCTTGGGGGCGGTGACTGGTTTGTGGTGATTACATCAAGGATGCAACATTCGGGAATAGATTAGTGATGTCTCACAAGATCCAGTGAGTTCGAGAGCTCACGAGAAACAGTTAGGTCTCGTGAGAGTTGCCTGCTATAAATGAGAGAGAGCTGCCCACAGCTTGCCCACTCTCTGCACGTGCCTGCCATTGTCTACATCTCTGCTGGCCATGCTGTAGGCCTGCAATTTTGGACTTTACAGCCACCAGAATCGTGAGTTCTGCAACTAAACCTCTGTTCTCTTAAGTTCATCCAATCTTAGGGATTTCTGTCAGCAACAGCAAAATAGACTAAGACACCTGCTTTCCCTGTGAATTCAGCTGTGACCCCAGCCGGATAAGTCCATGTCTCCTTGAAGGCGGTTCTGTCCCCAAACCCTAGGTCAGTGGCTGGCACACAGCAGAAGTTCATTTGAAGAATGAATAAGGGGTCCAGCAGATGGCATGGTGGTGAAGGCATTTGACTTCCACATGGCCAACTGTGGTTCGAATCCCAGACCTGGCAACTTTTCTGCCCACATGCTCAAAATCCCAAGAGGAGGATGGAGAAGGGATTGTGGTGTGCCTAAATCCCCTGGGAAGTAATTTCTCACCTTCCCTCTCACTGTCTCTCTCTCGTGAGCACATGCGCCCTATGACAAAAGCCTTAAAAAAAAAAAAAAAAAGAGAGAGAGAGAGAGAGAAGAAAGAATGAATGGGGGCCAGCAGCTGACATGGTGGTTAAGGCACTGGAACCTACACGGCCAACTCCACGGTTTGACTTGTAGACCTGACGGCCTGAAAAACACAAGTGTGTGTGCATGTGTGCCCAAAGTCCTAAGAGGAGGGTAGAGGAGAAGAGATTACAGCAGAGATTTCTCACTTTCCCCTCTCTGTCTCTCTCCAGCAAGCACTCGTTCCCTATGGTAAAAAATCTTTAAAGGAAAAAAACAAAAACAAAGAATGAATAAATGAGTGTTGAAGTCACGGGGTCAGTAGGTGATCCTGCATATGTAGCAACTCCCCTGGGGCCAGCCTGTCTGAGACGCAGGATGGGGCCCTGCAGGTCTGTCCCGGGCGCTCTGATCTGAGCACTTACCCAGCGAAAGGGCGGAGAGTGCCGTGGCCACACTGAGTGGAGACATGAGCACGTTGGCAGTGGGGTTCATGCTGGATTTCACGCGGTACAGGTCATAGCCGAAGTTGGAGACGGCCGCTGCCAGCTTGTTCACGGGGACCTTGAAGAAGGGATCCTCCTCCTCCACTGGTGCCCCTGGGCTGTCGGGGGCTAGCGAGCCCTGACAGGAGACCGGATTTGAGCACAAGGACCAGTGGATCTGAGCTGTGAACTGCTCAGAAGCTGCTCTTCTCTTCCTTGTGGCTTTGAGCGGTGTTAGCACTCTGGCCCTGGGGGCTGTCCTTCCTGGTTTTAGAATTTTAGCTTAATATTGCAATGAAACTTACACTCCCCAGTTATGCACGAGCTCTCCGCTGGGAAGAGGCAGCCCAGAGAGAGAGGACCACCCCACCCCCAGGAAACCCTGTATCTGGCCAGGGTCTGCTCAGCCTTGCTTACTGCTCCCAGGGCTCTGCCCAGACCCTCCTGTCAAACCCTTCCTGTCTTTGATGGCCCCAGTCAGATGTCTCCTCTCCCATCACAGATTTTTCCTGACCACCCCAATCTGAAAGAACCTTATGATTTTTGGAGCTTTTTTCAGAGTCAACTACTCCTTATTTACTAACCACGTCCCACATTCCGGGCTCCTCACTAGGTTGAGTTACTTCATGTTCGTTGATGTATTTGTCAGGTAATGCAGAAGACCAGTATCGCACAAGACTGAGTTCCTTGAAGGCAAGAACTTAGTCTTTTACATTTCTGCCCCTCCCAAATAGGTGTTCAGTAGATGAGAAATAAAAGAATGGTCACAATAGCCTCATAAGGATGGGGGGTTTTATCCCATTTGATTGATAAGGGACAGGGACGAAGATAAGGGTGATTTGTCTGAAGTCACAGTGCTAGTGAGAGGTGAGCTAGAATTCAAACTCAGAACCCATAACAAAGGCCAGGTCTCCAGCCAGCACACCCCAGCTGTCTCTTCCCTTGTGTGACAGGGACCCCCTTTGCCCCTCACTGTCATATAGCATAGGCTCCTCTCCAAGCACCTGTATCTGCCGTCGCTCCCTGTGACGCTCTTTCTAGGCAGGAAAAGGATCTATTCAGACTCAGCCTTTGCTGCGCCCCTAGTCAGGATCTGAGTAAATGTCACCCCCTCAGTGAGCCCCCCTGTGGTACTTGGTAATGAGAAAAGTCTTCACTGGAGCCAGAGGAGGCACAGTGGTAATGCAACTGGACCCTCATGGTAAGGTCCTAGGTTCATATCCCAGGGCCTCCCTGTACATGCTTGGTCACATATGTGCCCATAATCTAGGCTGGCTGAAGCGTGAAACCCTGTTAGGGCTTCCTGTCTATCATTTTGTCTGGTTCTCTCAGAAGATTAAGTGAATAAATTTTAAAGAATGAAAAAAGGTCTTTATTGACGGGACAGCCCTGGACTCTGGTAAAGTACTTTGAATTCTCACTTCAAGATCTTGTTTTTGTCCCTACTCTGTCCCCTGAAAGGCAAGGCCTTTTTCTATTAGCTGCTGGAGAAGTGAACCAAAATCCTGGAGAATTAAAGTCTGCGTCTGACCTGGAACTTGGGTGCCTGCTCCCTGACCTGTCTCCCATGCTGCCTGCTAAGGAGGGGCTGGGGTTGCTGATGCCCCTCACCCCCACCCCCCACTGACCTCCTCCAGGCTGCCTGCCACATTCTGGCAGGTGGCTTGCCCCGGGGG